GGGGGGGGGGGGGGGGGGGGGGGGGGGGGGGTGGCATATGAAAGCATTGCACCACTGAGGTTTTTGCCCCCTTGTTACATTAATTATGACAGCCCTGGATTAACCATTCATCAAAATAAGCATTTGCTTGGGGTATCCAGGGGAAGAGGCACCACGGAGTATTTTTCCCCTAGCTATCATGCCCTTAACTCTTTCACTGTCACATCAACTTTAGTCAAATTTTTGGTCATTGTCCTTCTCTGCCATGTTTGACATCATTAGGCATCATTATTCTTATTTCATCTTTATTTTTTAATGTTTTATTGTTTTTATTTGAATTGCTTTGTTCGATTGTTGTGAGCCACCTAGAGTTGCTGAGAGCCAGGTGGCATACAAGTTTTAAAAATTATTATTATTGTTGGTGGTGGTGGTGGTGCACAGTCAGCCAGATGTTCAGACTGGATTTGGCATTTTTGTCCACCTGTTGAGTCCTTCCCAGGGACCTGGGATAGGCAGATGTTGTTTGATGGTGTTAAAGGTATTGTCGCAAGATGTAAGGCTGTTATGCTAACCCCTAGTGAGGCACTATTATTAATATTGTCATTATTGCCTCTGTATAGTGGAGCATCTTAGCTTCAGCACTGCAGCCTGTAGGAAGTGCTGTTACACTTTTCACACCTGCCTTAGCTGGAGCAGCAGAAGGCATTGAGCAACAATGTTCTTATCTTCCAAACCTTTGTCTCAGAAGCCAAAAGTGGGGCACCAATAGGACAACTCCCTCTTTGTGTTCTCTCTTAATTGCTTCTGTTTGTTGTATCAAGATTAAAGAGGATTCCAGTGCAAACTCTCAACATCCCTGCAGTGTTTTCCTAAATTTGGAAGGTGTTCACATTCACATCTCTCTAGCCAAGGGCTTGCCCGGACTCATTTCTCATTACTTTGTCAGCATAGCCATTTTTTGACATACTAAGGTAACTGGTAGCATCCAGACACTCCAACATGCAGCAATATCACTTGGCATGGAAGCTGAGCAGCAAATCTGCCATTCAGATGAGTTGATTAAGCGCAACTGGCTTCATACCTTGGCTGTTTCAGGAAGCCTCAACTCCCAAGACTTAATTGTAACTGCACTTCCCAGAAAGCAAAACTCAGCTGTTGTCAGACTGAAATTAAACATGGCAGCAGCAAATGTGTTTCTGACATGCAAAGCAGGGGGTGGGAGTAGTGACTTAAAGCAAAAAAAAAAAGTGTTTTATTACTTTCTTTGCCTGCACTCACTTGCTATATCCTTTCCTAGGCATGTTTCCAATTAGAAGCATGGTTAGAGGACAAACTGTAGGCCAGCTTTTCTCAAGCTGGCATTTTCCCAATATGTTGAGAAATTCCCACAATTCCCTGCTAACATGCTCTTTGGCTCAGCTTTTTACATCTACTGATGAAGTCCCACACGTTAGAAGGACATCACGTTGAGGAAAGACATAGACCCAAAGTCCATGAGCTCTGTGGGGGAGGCCGAATATCTTTCTTTTGCTCTGCAGGTAGTTGTTGTTATGTCCACTTGTATTTCCTCATATGTGTTTTGAATCTCAGAATAAGCAAAAGATCTACTCGGATACACAGAACAAATGCTTTAATTGAAGCAGTGTTCAGAGTGAGACCTCTGTGAACGTCGGATACTGCAACAGCATCCCCCCCCCAATTAAACTGCTGCTTGTATTGTTTAACATTATATGATGCATGATCATGACTTCTCCATAGAAGACTATAGCTTCAGACACAAAAACTTTTCTAAAAGACTAGAAACCTTAGATGGACTTTTTGCTGAAAGAAGAAAAAAATGGAAGATTTATGGATTTGAAGATTAAGAAAGACGCAGACTAAATGAGGGGGTAAGCAGACTTGTAAAATATTTAAGAGGGAGGAAAGACAGTAAGATTGTAATTATCTGTTGAAAAGATGGCCGGAAGTCATTTATATATTTCTTAACTTTAGTTTTCTTTTTCTTTTCTTGAACTTTTTTATTATTCTCTTTTTTTTTCTTTTCTTTCAATTTGTGTTTCATTATATGAAAATTCTTAATATAAATAAAAAAGAGGACTATAGCTTCATTTGCAAGGAACAAACAGTTGTTCTGTGGTAGGAATTTCATGGGGTTTTGCATTCCTCAAACGTCCAGTTAGATGATAAAAGTAGTCAGGAAGAATTGGTAAAAATGCCGCTAATCACAGTGCCGTATAGGTAAGGGAGTCTTTCTGGAGCAGGACATGAACAAACCCAAGAGAGATCTGAAATCTTATTTGATTGGAACAAGCGAGCAATGTAAAAATAGGTATTATTTTGTTCTACCGCTGATTAACCTTGTGGAGCATATCGGCTTTTCCAAGAGTGGAAAACCAAGGCTTTTACCCAATATTTGATTCTGTTGGCATACAATGTCCTAGGCATCTCTAATTTGGAATCATCCCTTTTTAACAAATTAATTTTTTATTAATTATTATTCAAGAAATTTTACAGAATAAAAACATTTAAGGAAAACAAAAATAAAGGAAAGTAAAAAAAGTGGCAAGAAAGAATAAAGAAATGAAAGAGAAAGAAGAGAGGGAAAAAAATAAAAAAAATAAAGACAAAATATAAAAGAAATGACTTCCAATCTTCTTTACAGCAGTTATAAATGCATGTGGACTTTATCACAAGTACATCTTTTTTCCGTTTTCAGCAAAAAGTCCATAAGGGGTTTCCAGCTGCTAACTAATTAGGGATTTTCCTGATATTTGTTGGGTTTTAAATGTAGCATTTGAACTATTTGGAATCCATCCTTTCTACTTCCTCTTCTTGCTACATTCATTAGCAAACAGCAGCCATTGCGCTCAGGCATTTAAAAAAATCAGCCAGGGTAAAATGTTTCAGGTAAGTAGTCATGATTACAGATGTGTATTACACAGAAGAAGACCTGAAGGACCAGGTTAGGGACAGATTTATTTACTTCCTTTATTTAAACATTTTGTATAGTGGGCTATCTTTTCGGCAACATAACCCTGGGTGGCTCACAAACA